GGGTGTGCCGGGCAGCGGTCCTTTCTTCACTGTTGGTCTGTAAGGCGGAGATAACCGATTTCAAGGCCCGGTTTGGAGAAGCCCGGTTCGATATCATGATTTCGCCGATCTCGGCCGGGCTCAAACTCGCCCCGGTTTGGAATATGTCTTCCACATGAGAGAAAAGCTTGTGATCTTTTAAGCCCAAGTGGGTGTTGGCTAAGCTCTTGAAAGCGTTGAAATCGCACAAGGGGAAATGAACATGGACGTCGACTCTTCCCGGCCGGAGAACAGTTGGATCGATTTGATCTTTTCCGGTGGTCATCGTGAACACCATCACCCGTTCTTCGCCGCAGCAGGAGAAGATTCCGTCCATGAAGTTGAGAATCCCAGACAAAGTCGGACCTGTTGACTTCGCGAGCAGATGGCGATCCAGATCTTCAATCACGATCACCGATTTGCTCTTCGTCTGCAAGAGAAGCATCTTCAGATCGGAGTCGTCGGAGACTCGGCACAAATCGATGTCGTAAACGTCGTAGCCCAGAAATTTCGCCATTCCGGCCACAAATGTGGATTTACCGGTGCCGGAAGGGCCGTAGAGAAGGTAGCTCCGCTTCCAAAGACGGCCTAGCCTGTGGTAGTACTGTTTCGATTTGAGAAAGGTTTCCAAATCGGACTTGATTTTGCTCTTAAGATCCGAATCCATGACCACCGTGTCAATCGTCGCAGGATGCGTCAGCGCCACCGATCTCCACCGCCCGCACCTCTCGACGATGTTCACGTACAGCCTCAACTCCTTCCTCCTCTGCTCGATCTCATCGAAGACAGAGAGAATATGCTGAAGATACGAACGGAGAATCCGACGCTTATCGATCCTCCTAATTTTCAAAACTAGGGATTTCAAACCGGTCCTCTCGTTCTCCTCGTTCGCCCAGCTAACCCTGGCGCCCAAAAAATCATCCACCACAACCTGATTGGAATCGAGAACTACGTTGATCTCGTTCAACTTGTTCCCCGAAAACAGGTTAGTGAAATCGGAGTCTTCAATGGCGGACAAGGAACTAAGGTATGTAGACACTTTCCGGTACAGCTGGTTTTCCTGCATGTACTGGTTGAACTCCGGAACCTTGTAGAACTGATAGGCGTAGCACTTGTCTTCCAGAAATCGAAGCCATTTCTTAACCGCGAACAGAAGAGAAGATCTTAACCCAGAAGGTATAAAGAAAAATGCAACAATGATTACCGATAAGATCACGAAGTACATGATGATTATTTCTTATTCAGGAGAACTGCTAGAATCATTGCAGGTGGTGGAAATTTGATTATTCTTAAGACAGTGGTGGAATGAACACCGGCCGTGCAGGAAAGCAGGGTTCGTTTCTTTCCTTTTTGTAAATGGAGAACGAAGAGGAATTAATGGGAATTGGATACGGGAGTCTGGCGGGTATAGGTGGTAGGGAATGGGTATTTTTAAAAGAGTTTGTTAGGTGTTGCTTGACTAATTATACGACACGCCGTTGTTAGGTTTTAATTGGTCAAAATGGGAAATTCTAATGGTTTCGTTTGAGATTTTTCTACTGTTGTGGTTGTCTGACCAAAAATAATTTTTTTCTACCTCCGTTCATGAGTATTTGTTCGGTTTTGATTTTTTTTTTCAGTTAACTATTTTTAACATTTGACCTATAATTAAATAAAATATATATTCTCTTTTAATGTAATAAAAAATATTTTGAAAATATGTGACATAATAAATCTAAGAAAACTCTTTTTGTATCAATATCTAATACTTTATTTTTTATAATATTTTTAAACTTTTTCAAATGTATTCCAACTTTTTTTAATTTCTTCTCACTTCGTTTAATTTTTTCCAACTTCTTCAAACATCTAATTTTGGAATTCCTCAAATGGGAAGAGGAGTTTATACTTTATATAGGTGGATCCGCGTATGACTACGTGAACAAAATATGGAAAATTGTAAATTTACATACTCACTCGGTCTCTGAATATTTGTCCATTTTTGATTTTTTTTCGATCAAAATTGATAAACTTTAACATCAAAGTAGTATTTCAAATGTTTATTAATGTTTTTATATTCATCTACAAAATATTAAAATTCAAATGAATGATTATTTAAATAAAAGATTATTTGTAATTCATCTACACTTGAACCAACTTTTCAAAATCAATTCATTATTTTATGAAGAAATATAAAATAGTATTATTTTTATAACATATTTGTATATATGTTCGGTTCATGATTTTTCAGTATGGAAAGCTACCTCGTATCGATCCCAAATATCTGACCGACCATTCGGTTTTATCTGTAACGCCCCACAAATATTATTTTAAATAGCTAGTCAATATTTTAAATAAATAAATATTATTTTAAATAATAAATATAGAGATTTCGATCTATTTAAATGGATTTCCAAAGTTAATGTAATATAATAATGGGCCTTTCAACATTAATTAATTAAATAAATTAATTAATGATTGAGATTGATCCAGAAGTTTGAAAATAATGTTTTTCGAAAAATATTTTGAAGATATCATAAATTTAGTTTTGACTATTTATTTTTGAAAATGCAAAAGGATCTCGATTCGGACTAGTTTGGGGGGAAAGCGCGTACCGTTCACGTCAGATTTTATACATCCGAGTGGAATTTAGGGAGATAACTCCCCAAATCAATCCACACGCCACTTATCATTATTCATTCCCCCATTTTAATTCTCATTTACTTCCCTCATTATTCCTCCATTACTCATCTATTATATCCCTTCAATATATGCATCCATCTTCCCTTCCATTTCCTCCATCACTTGTAACCCCCACACCATTAACACACTCTCAACTCTCCCTCTTCTCCTGGCATTTCAGCCCAGGAGTAGCATCGAGTCACTATTTGGTTGTTGTTGCATGAACAAAGTTGTAGCCTTGTGAATCGGTGAACTAGAACTGCAAACATTTTGTCAATCAGACGAGTAACGAAGGCGATATGACCGTTTTACCAAAATTGGTCCAGTGGCAACGGAAAACGCGAGGTTTGCAACTTCCGCCACCATTTGATAATCGATTATCACCAAGTCACAATCGATTATCAGATGCAACTGAACTTTGATAATTTACTATCACCAAGTGATAATCGATTATCAAGGGCTGCTGAACTTTTAGAAATATCCAAAATCAAAGTGCTTTCAAGGTAAGAATCAATAATTGAAATATGGATGAGAAGTCGAGGCTTAGCTTTCAAATTAAGTCTTCGGGATCATAAGTCAAGCATGCTCACTTAAATTCAAAGGTAGTATACCATTCATAACATCATATCATCATCCTAGACGTAGGTCGTAGGATAATGGCATACCATTGCATACTGCATCAAAAGGTTAGGCCTAGTGCGCCTCTTCCGCGGGCCCGTCCAGGAGCCTTTGGGATCCAAAAGTCTCATCAAGAGGGCTTGTGTACGTACATGGTAACTAGGTTTTCAGTTACCACCCACATTTTCTAGTCTCCTTTAGGAGACTAAGGTTTCCTCGGCTCATCAGCGCGTGGGATGATCACCGAAGGGCAGGGATGTTGGAGTTGGTGCCCTTATGGCCAACGGCTGTTGTAATATCTTAGATATTTTCTATCTTGTAAAGTCAGATGTAATAAGTTTACAAACATCTCATGCTAATGTAAACTCTTATTTACATTTCTAGATTTATATTATAAGATGTTTATCAGAATGAGTCTTCTGATGTTGAGACTAACATCTTGTCACTCAGTATAATTCTAAATGGTCTATAGTCGAAGCACTAACGAGAGTGGGATATCGTTAGTGTATGTGAGACTAGTGAGAGTTAGATGTTTGACCTAGTCTCTTGGTCAATGACGGAGTGTTCGCATTTACTCTCGGGCAGATATTATCGTTAATAATAGGAAGCCTGACCTGACCCACCTTAAGGACATTGCCTAGACTTTTAGTCTATGCTCTAAGTATCCTTAATGCGACTATTGGTATAACGATCCGTAGACTTAAAGTATTACTTTCTTCGAATACGTGAACCCGCATGCTTTAATTCATTGTCCGAAGCTATATGAAATAAGGATGGTAAAATTGTGCACTTCTGTTGTATCTTACCCCTTCTCGATTACCTCTGAGCAAGCTGTGATGAAAAATCTGAGCAAGCTGTGATGAGGTTTCTTATTTCTTGTGTGAAATTTGGCACTTGTGCTATATTCTGCCTATGTGTGTGCACCTCTGTAGTGTGTGTGTCCAGTACTTTTAATTAACTCTGAGTATGCTGTGATGAGGTATCTGAGCATACAATGATGAGGTTTCTCGTCCTGTTACCTCTGATCTTGCTGTGATGAGGTTTCTCGTCCCGTTGTAACTTAGTTATGTGTGTGCACCTTTGCAGTGTGTGTGCATTGTGTTTGTGTGTGTACTCCTGTTGTACCCTACATGTGTTGCACCTCTGCATTGTTTGTGTGTGCACAACTGCCCATTACCCCTGAGCATGATGTGATGAGGTTTTAGAGTTTAAAATTGTACACTTATGTGTGTCTGTTCATGTATAACTGCAATGATGAAGAATATTTAGTCCATATTCATATTGGAATACAATTTGCATGAATGGTTGCTGTTGCTGTTTCTAAATGCTTTTATCCAAAAATCCAAAATTCAAAAACCCAAAAACCAAAAGCATAATACAACCACACGCATACATAAACAAAAAACCCAAACACCACCAAGTACTACAAGGTGTTAGTTCATTCCGGAAGAATGAACCCTTCATCTTCTTCAAGAATGAATTGACCCAAAAGATCTTCATGTGTCTCAACCGCATCTACTGGTGGTTCATTCTGCCCATTAAGTGCAATAAGAGTTCTGTCATACACACCTTCTTGTAATTGTAGCACATAATGCAATGTCCCCTCCCTGTACATACCATCCTTTCCCATGTGTGGAACCTTGTAGTTGTTACCCCCATCCACTTTCACTATCTCTTCCATAACTTGTTGATAGATCAGCCACATTTTGTTTAGTGTATGAGGTGAGAACTGATCATATGCATCTTGTACTGCATTCATCAACTCTGTGACATTACTGGGAGCTGCTTAATCCTTCAATGACTCGATAGCTCTAAAAAAAACCTAAATCTAAAATGTTTAGGTCTGGAGAATTAGGGGGCTGATTTGTTAGGGAAATCTGGAAACCATTTGTTGTGCTTGCCATGACATAGTCTATGTCATTCCCAAGAATGTGTGGCCTAGCATTATCTTGCTGGATAACAATTTCTTTGCTCATGAAATGTGGCCACTTATCTTGGATGGCAGGTATGACCTGGTGCAGCAACATGTTTTTAAACACTTCTTTTGTTACACTAGACACTGGTTTGGTTTCTAGAGAACCTGCCTCCCTATTCTTGCTTTTCCTCTTTGCTTCAACAGTTTCCACAAAAGGAAACATGCCTACTTTCCCATCCCAAAGTACTTGTCCATCATCTGAAATTATCGGTCTTCCAACCACACCGAGAAACATTATTTTTGTGATAAATCTCTTAGATTGACAAGTCCTATAGGGTTCTTCTTCCTCTAGGGTCAAGTAGTATTTTTGGAATGTCTTTGTCAAAAAAACCATTTTTCATCAATATGTAACACATTTTTAAAACTCTTAAACGTTGGGTTTGACAGAATACTAGATTCCTCTACTTGCTCCAAACAAAACAGCAACCTTTGTCTCTTATTTGCCTCATTCAGTGAGGGCTTAATTGCATTACTATGACTTCGAAGAATACCTCGTTTCACCCAATTATGAATTGTAGACTTGCACAAACCCACGGCAGAGGCTAGTAACCTTATTGTGGTTCTCCTTCGCAGTGGGATGTCTGCAATTGTATCCAAATTTGCTGCAAGTCTTTTCCTTCAACTCTTCCTGCCATTTTGTTACTTACATCTATGCAATGTCCACCTTGTAGTTGTGTCTTAGCTTTTGACCACAACTTCGAAACAGTTCTTCTACTAACTTGGAACTCAACAGCAACTTCATTCACAGCACCTCTCTGAGCAGTTTCTGTCCCCATGAAATTTATTTGTGCATGTAGCAACAAGTAGCCTATTATTCCCTGCCTTTCTAAGTGAAAGTTTTTTTGTCCTTTTCTCTTGTGTGTTTTGGGATTCTCTTTGTAGTGTTTGTGTAGGACTAGACGGATCCATTCCTGAGATTGAAATGGCAGTGGCTGCAAATACAAAAAGAAAAGTGGTCTCACATGGTAGAAAGAGAAAAAAGGAGGGCCAATGTGTGTCTGGTAAAAGAAAGTTCCCAAAAGAGGAAGAAAAGAGAAAAGATATCGGAGATGTTATGCTGCTGGAAAAAAGAGAACTGCCACAGGAAGAAAAGAGAGAATAAAGACTTTGGAAGCTTTCTAAAAAGGGAATGGCAGTACTCCAGGAGTATTAATAGCTAGTGAAAATGTAATGAGAGGGAAATTTTTTGTTTTTGGGGGGGACTTTGAATTTTTGACAAAATTTGGCATTTGGAATGCCGTGTAACCTTGTGTACTTGTTGGGATTTTTTTACTCCGTATGTTTTTGTGGTTGTGATTTGGAGTAGTAGTTTAACTTTATGTACTTTTTGGGATATTTTAAGTTTTTAATCATTATCAATCAAATCATCACTATTCTTACTTTATTCACTTTTTTATTTCTTATCACTTTATTTTAATTTAAAGAAGGGCAAATTTGGAAAGTCAAGGAAATTTTTACACTTCCTTAAAGTGCGTGCCCGGTCAAACCGGGAACTTTAATCTTGGACGGAGGGAGTATCTTTCTTTGGTTAAATGTATTTTCAATTTTCCAAAAATAAAAAGTTTGTTACATTTTACTCCCTCTGTCCATGAGTATTTGTCAACTTTTAATTTTTGCACACCATCCAATGCACTTCTTTATTCCATTTTATCTTGTAAATTGTATATTAAGAAATTATAAAAATTATATATTAATAATCTATATGTTAAGACGAATCAAACAAGATTACACATGACTATTTTTAGGCTTACACATTGAGGGAATTTGATGAGTCAAAATGCTTAGATGAACAGTTTCAAAAGTCAAAAGTGGATAAAGACTGTGGGACGGACCAAGTATGATGTAAACTAAGTACATATATATTCATCCCGATTTATACCGAAATCGATACCGAACCATCCCGAACTATACTGAACCAATGCTTTGAAAACGATATCGGTACACCGTAAAAATACATACCAAACCGAAATATTTGATACGGTATCGGTACAATCTAAATACCGTACCACGCTCACCCCTAGTCTGACTGGTTATCCTAACATACACAAAATGAGAAGTCTATATTCGTGGGTTAGGTAGAACTTAGAAGCAGCTTCATTCTTTTTCTAAACTTCATACGCACAAGTAGCAACGCCCGCTCCCAGCCGAACAGAACCCCTCAGCTGACCGCAATCGGAGCTCCGCCAGTCCACCTCCAACCTCCGCCGTCCGCGCCGCTACAAGTCTCTGTCTCCAGGACTCAACTCGCGATTGCCAGGTTCGTTTTTTCCAATGCCTAATTACTCCGTATATTATTGATGAATCCTTTTGCTCTTATTATTAATGAATGAGTATACACGCTTTAACGGCTGCTGTTCTCACTTCTCAATGCATTGTCAATTTTTGCGGTTGATTATGTTCAGACCTCTTTGTATGTATGTACCCTATCAAACTGAGGACCCCTCTTTTTTCCTGCGTGAGTTTAGGGTTGTGCTATGAAAAAACAAGATCGATTAACTTTAGTACTCTAATTGCAAGGTCAAATGAAATATATGTCTATTTTTGCAGGATTAAAATTTTCCAAACATAAAACTACTCATGGACATGGTTTCTGTCCAATATCAATTTTGATTCTGAAACATGAGGTTCCGGTTCCAGGGGTGAAATCCTAACCGGAATTGATTCCAGTTCCACTTGTTTTAATTTAATTTTTTTTAAAAAAATGTTATAAGATTTGCTTCATACTATTTTTTATTTGTTGATATTATGAATCAGACCAAAAAGTAAATTGAGAATTACGAAGTAGTCTGTAAAGCAGAAATAAAACAAGAACAATAGAAATGAAATCAAAATGAGAATCGCCAGTTCCAGTTTCTGAAACGGAGAACTGGAACCGTAACACTTTCCCCAACAGTCAGGCCTAGTTTCTAAGAACCTGCCCATCAATTCGATTTCAGTTCCAGAACTCTAGTATACGATTCTGATATCAAAGCAAAACCTTGTACAGTTTTGCTGAAAAATCTAGACTTTATGTTTAATACTTCAGACTTTTAGACATAATGTTACTCACTATGATTTTTTTAATCGATTTGTGACTTTAAAATCTTTAGTCTATGCTTCAAAAAGGTTGTGACCGAGGTAGCCCAATGATCTGTATTTTAAAACAATTGTAGAGAGGTGTTGAGCTCGGATTTCTAATTTAAGATTCTCATAGTGAAAGATAGTTTTACTACAACTAGTGATATGTTTTAGCAAACCACTTCCAAAAAATGAAAATTGGGTGCTACCAATTTTGAGATGTATTTTACATCATAATGGATCTTTTTACATTGAACATTTCAATGTCAAAATGACCCTGGGCATCTATGGTTGTCCGTCGTCTGTTGGTAAAATTGATGGTTCTTACCCCCAAACCCCAGCCCCTTCCCCCCGATCGCCAATTCCATCAATTTTACCAACCTAGCACCATATGTGTCCCGGGTCATTTTGACATTGAATGTTTAATGTCAAAAGATCCTTGCCTATTTTATATTCAGTTATTCACAATGTAAGAGCATTGTAGATTTTCATGTGATTTCCTAATTTTAATGTTATACATAAACTCTAATTTTATAGATTAGGTTTTTACTTAATGCTTGATATGTGAATACCAGTTTTCATAAATGGGACCTCATGACCAAAAGATTCTAGGTCACCCCTGATTTACACCATCGTGGACAACAATACATTTTCATTGATTCTACTTATAGGTGTGGATAATTTTTACGAAAAAACTTTTATGTGACAATTTTTCACCGGCACCTTATACAAGTGGCATTGATGAAAATTTCATGGTCTACATCATGGCGTAATGCATGATGTATAGTCAGAATTATCCATTTTTTAATGGTTTTTACCTAACCAATCAACCAAAGTGCTTCTTACCTTTTTTTCAAAAAACAAAAAAAAGCGATTCTTACGTCTTCGGTGTTTATGGCTTTTTGTTACCACACTATCAAAAAGTGATTCTTACCGTCTTCGGTGGACAACCTTTGTTCAGAACTGAATTTCCATTTTGTATAAACCCGTCCTGACCGCACCATGCCCACCGCCTTGTCACCCTGCCTGCTCTCTGGAAACGTGCACGTAGTACCTACACAATTCCATCTTCTCCGACAATCACCACCATTCTTTCGGTTGTCATTTCATTCTTTCTTCGCCACCCCGCTGTCTAGCCGCGTTTATCCCAAAAGCTCATCCTTAACAGGGAAGGATATTAGAATATTTGGATCTTGGAAGAAAACATCAATGTCTGATTTTGTTGCTGGGGAGATGAAGGCCAAAGTTCAAGTCTTTGATTCAGAAGAGGAATTAAAGGGGTCTTTGGCGAAATACACTGCTGATTTATCGGAGAAATTTTGCAGAGAGAGGGGCTCCTTCTCCGTAGTGTTCTCCGGCGGTTCCCTCATCAAGTGTCTCGGGTAATGTACTAATGCAATGCTGGCTTCTAGACTTCATTATTCTTTATCTTTTTTCAAAATCAATGTCTGAGTTTATTACAACCTATTGACAGGAAATTGCTTGAACCTCCGTATATTGACTCGGTCTACTGGTCGAAGTGGCACGTATTCTGGGCAGATGAGCGTGTGGTTCCAAAGGACCATCCAGATAGCAATTACTTGCTCGCTTATGATAGTTTTCTATCCAAGGTATTTGATTTGATAAGATGGTGAGTAGCTTTGTTTGTGAATAAATTCATCCAGATTATATCTTTTGTTTTGTGTGCACCTGCTATGTGAAATCCCGGGCTCTTTCAGATTTTATAGTATTCCATCTTTGGATACTAAAGCCTTTGTGCCTCCATGATTCACACTTTACACTTGATTCACATCAATGTGAAATTTTTCACACTGATGGTGCTACTCTCTGTGAACAGTGAACACAGACAGTAACATCACATACAGGTGAGCGGCACCAGTGGTTGTAGTACAATAGTGGTTATTAGATCTGAATTTCTCTATTGTGTGTATATGAAAACAATTTCAATGCAACACTTGTTATATATAAAGACGAATTAGTGATATTGGTTTTGTATAATTGTATTACACTTAATTGTCTGACCTCCCTTATAATTTGGAATGAGAATGACCTAGATAAGACTAAAACATTGTCACTTTTTCGGTTTTTCCATATTAGACTTCATGTTTTTAATTCTCTAAATAATACTTAATTAATTACGAGTAGTTAATAAAATGAATTTAAGTGTACCAAAATGTCCATTCCACACCCTACTCTCATGAGATTTAACTGGGTTGTTGTCGTTGTTGTTGATAATTGTATCTATATAAAACAACCCTAATTAGCATCAAGTGCATTATTCTGTGGAACTATTGTTGATTAGTTAACTAGGTCAATCTATGACAGGGTACATGTTTTATGTTTTATGCAAATGGCATTGTATTGATTGGCGAGTCCAAGTCAGAGATAAATAGTAACTTGTTATCATGAAGAGTCATTGGATTTTAGGATAAGAGAGTAAAATTGAGCATTAGGAGTGCAACAAAGTTTTCCTTATCCTAGAAAGTTTTCATTACATCTTCATTTTTATTGATCTTGACATTATTTTTAGGTTATTATTAAAGATATGTACAGTATAAAGAACACCTGAGTACCCAAAAACAAAGGCAACTAGAGTTAACTCTTCTTTTGCAGATACCAATTCCTGCTGGTAATGTGTATGCCATAAACGATGCCTTGTCTGCTGAAGGTGCAGCCGATGATTATGATACCTGCCTCAAGCACTTGGTCAATACCAACATTGTGTGTACGTCTGAGGCTAGTGGATTTCCACAATTCGATCTAATGCTTTTGGGAATGGGTCCAGACGGGCATGTTGCTTCTTTATTTCCCGGTCATCCTCTTCTCCAAGAGAAGGAGAAGTGGGCAACATTCATCAAGGACTCTCCAAAACCGCCTCCAGAAAGGATCACTCTCACATTGCCTGTAATAAACTCTTCTGCAAACATTGCACTTGTTGTACCCGGCGCTTCCAAGGCGGATGCTGTGTATTCAGTATTGAGAGGCAGTCAGAATGCGGTTTCATTGCCCGTGCAAATGGTTTTGCCCGAAGGGCAATTGGTTTGGTTTTTGGACAAGGGAGCTGCTTCAAAGCTCTAAGCATATGCGAGCTCTCTTGGTAAGTGCGATTGATCAAAAGATAATATCCCTTGTCTTTGCAGGATCAGGATGTGAACTGGGACGGGAATGAGAAACTATTTTGATGCAATAAGATGATTCCCTCGAAACCCAGCATACTCCGCAATAAACTAGTGCTCCGTAAAGGTGTAATTCTATTTTGTTTATCATTCAAACATTGTTTATTTTTAAAATAACGTTTCAAACTAAACTACAGCTATTTAAGCTTTCATCCGTATTCCCTCCATCCATTTTTTATCTTCTCGCCCCGTTTCCTTTTGGCCAAAAAAAAACCAAAAGGTCATTTATACCCTTTGGCCTAAGTTGCTCTCTCACCTTTAATTACTAATCAACCCTACCATCTCTCACCTTTCTCGGTTTCTCAGCCACCTACTAACTCCCCCTTTGCCATCTTCATCCTCTTTGTTTTACCTCCGCCTCCATGTTCTTCCACAACCATCTCCTTCCATATTTAAGCTTTGATATTTATATTTTCTTGCTGCGTTTTAGTGGTATTCGATGACCCTGGTTTCAATTGATGCAGCTACGAAGTTTTCTTCGCAAAATTGATACTCCCTCTATCCCCTTTTAAATCGCCCGTTTTGACTTTGAGGCATATTTAAGGAAGAGAAAAAATAGAGTTGACTTTCCAAAATTGCCATTACTTTTTAGGAGGGGCAACGATGAATGAGAAGATAAGGTGGAGAAGAGTAATTTATTTTAGGGGTAATTTAGGTATTTTACTCTTAAAAGTTTACGATAACAAGAAACATGCAACTTATTTTGGAACGGAGAAAAAAAAGAAAATAGACAATTTAAAATGGGACAGAGGGAGTAATTCTTATTTCTTCCAAACCTTCCTAAATCCGAGGGACTAGTTCTTATTTCTTCTCCCTTCTCTTCCACGCCGATTGGCAATGGGCAAGATGAATTGGGGTGCGAGGCAATAGGGGTTAGGTTAAGGTTGGGGTTAGTGTGTAGTAATCATTACGTTTGCAAACAGAGAACCTTAAGTGCCATAAAAAAGACTGACAAACTGTATCGATTATCTTTATGTTTTAAAAATGTTCTTAATATTTCTTTGGGAATGGCAAACAGTTTTGTTTTTTCAAATAAATCCAAATATAAGAATAGTGATTTGATTTAGATAATCGGAACATGCTATTTTAGGAAGCGTTCTGATAAACTTATTTTTTTGCTTATTACTTATTCTTATTAAATGCAGATCAAATCTGACTAGATTAGATCAAATTCGATCACATTAGATCAGACCAAATTTAAACAAAATTATTATTATTATTATTATTATTATTATTATTGTTGTTGTTGTTGTTATTATTATTATTATTATTATTACTATTACTATTATTATTATTATTATTGTTGTTGTTGCTGTTGTTGTTGTTGTTACTACTACTACTACTATAACTATTATTACCATTATTCTTGGTATTATTATTACTCTTACAATTATTATTATGATTATAATTATTATTACTATTGTTGTTATTATTATTACTATTAATATTAATACTATTATTAGTGTTACTATTATTATTACTATTATTATTATTATTATTACTACTACTACTGCTATTATTATTATTATTACTATTAATATTAATAATAATATTATTGTTACTATTATTATTATTACTATTTTTATTATTAATGTTACTATTATTATTATTATTATTGTTCAATTATTGTTATTATTACTATTTAAGTATTATTATTATTATTGTTATTATTACTATTTCTATTACTATAACTATTATTATTATGACAATAATTATGTTTTCTATTCTTATTGTAATTACTACTATTATGATAATTACTAATAATTTTATTATTATGATTACAATTATTATTATTATTATTGTCATTGTACTAATATTATTATTACTACTTATTACTATTCTTATTACTATTATTATTATTACTATTATTATTAATATTTCTATTATTATTATTATTACAACTATTATACTAAAAATTTAATATTTAATTTAATCAAATTTATATCATATCATATCCAATTAGATCCAATTAGATTAGATCAAATGAGATTCAATCAAATAAGACCAAATCAAAATTTCAAAAAATCAAATCAAATCAGATCAGATCAGGAGAATGGAACACATCCTTATTTTTTGTAATATATGCAAACTATTTTTTCAGTTTGGTTTTTTAAATCCAAACTAGAAAAACAATGACTCCAAAAAAATCAAATTTGACGGATGTATTGGAACAAAACCTCCTCGTGTGAAAGGAACATGGAGAATAAAGGTGTGAAGGGGAAATTCTCTTAATACTCATAGGCCCCGTTTGGTACACGGAATTCAAATTATGGAATTGAAATTGAAGACTTCAATTCCAATTCTCGTGTTTGGTAGCACAAAAAATATGTGGATTTGGAATTGGTAATGCAAAAATTGAATTAAAATTGATGAATTCAATTCTATGGAATTGAATCCATAGAATTTTAATTCTAATTCAATTCCAATTCCATCAATTCCATGTACAAAATGTGTGGCTATTATGCAATATGCATAATAACACACATTTTGTGGGGGGCTTACGGCGGGGTGTGGGTGTAGGGGTGGGGATGGGGTGAGGAATTTAAGGGGTAGGAACCGTCAATTTTACAAACGGAGCACCGGAGGTGCCCCAAAAATGCAGTGGCACCGCTAGTGGCACCGTTTTCCGATGTCACTAGAACCCAACCGTATAAAATATACTCCGTATAAAAAGTTTTTTAAAAGAAAAATGTGACATGTTTATATTATTTTAGAGTAAATTTTCTAAATAGTTCATCACACTAGATAGATGATGATGTTGCTCATGATACTAATGAATGACAACTACTTAATATTTTTCATACATTCAAATAAAGGCATATAAGAAAACACTGTACTACTAGTTTCTTAATTAATTATGTGTCTCTTTAACATTTTTATTTACTGATTGATTTTTTTAAATTAATTTTGGTTTTTTCATTTATAGATCAAGGCTGAATATGCAAAATACCATTCATTTTTCTTTTTGGTTGGGAATTACAATCAAGATAGAAGTGACAACATGAAATGAAGAGATGAAGCTTAGATGAATATTTTAGAATACTCTTGTCATAAAAACATGTTTAGCACTATATTTTTTTATTTCAAAATCCTATTATATTAACATTGTGAACCTTTGATCCCCTAAAAAAAAAATACTGTGAATCTTTGATTGTTTAGAAATGTGGGTAACATATATTTTGATTTTTATTCGAACATATGACTTCTACTTTATAAATGCTTACTAGTAATGTGGAATTTTGTACTAGTTATTATTGTTTTTCACCTCACATATATTATTAAACGTAAAAGGTAAATACAATAAAAATAGTTATAGTATTTATAAGAATAATAGTAATAAAAAAAATAATAATAAGAATAATCTTTAGAAAATTTAATTTGCGGCAGTAAAGTGACAATTGTAGCGATTAAATTTTGTTACTAGACACCATCTTTTGTGGCAAAATATAAATTGTGGCATTATAACTGGTTATGGTTTTCAAAGGAATGAAGATGAATCTTGTGTATAGAAGAAGACTAGTGGGAGTACCATCCATAGTCTTCCTTGCTTTATATGTAGACGACATATTATTAATGGGGAATGATGTTCGTACTCTATCATTTGTAAAGACTGGGCTAGGTATGGTAAAAACTTTTCCATGAAAGACTTGGGTGATGCAAGCTATGCTCTTGGAATCAGGATATATAGGGATAGATCTAGGAACCTGATTGGGTTAAATCAAAGTACATAAATTGACAAGATTCTCAAACGATTTCAAATAGAAGAATCTAAGAGAGGGAACTTGCCAGTGATCCATGGAATTAGTCTTTCCAAGACTCGAGGACCTTCAGAAGAAGAAAAGAAACACATGGAAAATGTTCCATATGCATCTGCCATTGGATCAATCATGTATGCCATGGTATGTACGAGACCTGACGTTGCCTATGCACTTAGTATCACAAGTAGATACTAATTCATTCTTGGTGACAGTCATTGGATGGTTGTGAAGACCATCCTTAAGTACTTACGAAGAACTAAGGATTCCTTCTTTGTCTATGGCCAACTTGAAGAGCTCAGAGTAACTGGTTACATTGATGCAAGGCTTCCAAACGGGCAGGGATGACTTTAAGTCACAGGTAGGTTATGTTTATTGTCTTAATGGCGGAGCTGTAAACTGAAGAGCTATAAGCAAGACAGTATCACAGATTCTACTACAGAAGCAGAGTAGATGGCAGCTTCTGAAGTAGCAAAAGAAAGTGTTTGGATAAAGAACTTCCTCTCGGAACTAAGAGTGGTTCCAAGTAGACGAGACCCCATCGCCTTGTATTACGATAACACTATGGACGTCGCACAAGCTAAAGAACCACGATCTCACCGGAAAACTAAGCACATTGTAAGACGCTATCACTGTAGCACCCTAATCCGTCTGGGTTTGCAACCTCTTTCAGACTAAAGTATAAACTTGGTATTCGTATGATTTAAAACATTTCAAATAACTTTATTCATCACAATAAAATTTCATACATAACTGTAGGAAATACGGAGTGTTTAATAATATGCGGAAACGACTTTTAAACATGTCTCATAACAAACATAATTATTTATTTTATCAATAAATCCACCACGACTGTCTCGCCCCTTCCGCTCCCAGGGATATTCCAATCATTCATTCTGTCTACCTGCGTGTTCGTAGCAAATAAAACACACTGCATACTCAGCGATAAAGCTGAATAAGCATATCTAAAGCGTCAAACATCAACATAAATTGAATCTCAATTCACAATCAACCATTTGATATCATGCACAAAAAATATATTCCATAATTCATGATGTTCTCAATATTTTATTCCAAGTCATTTCAATAATCAACATCTCAACTATGCTCTTAAATTATTTTTAATCTAAGGCCAAATCATTTGTAACAAGCTCTTAGCTAATCCTAGTCTAAGGCTCTAACCAGGCTCTTAAACTATACATAGTAGGCAAAACACAAGAATCGATAATCCACCCTATGAGTCATGTGGATTACGTACCAAACCGAACAGTGAACTGTGGGGTGGGTGATATCTATTCTAGATCCCGTACGTACGTTTTAACCCCGAATTATGAATTGGTCAAGGTGGTATATCTTAGAGTTCTTCTAGATATCCTTAATAATCATCAATATACAAGTGGATATATCTTAAAGTTCTTCTAGATATCCTTAATAATCATCATCAATATACAAGTGGATATATCTTAGAGTTCTTCTAGATATCCATAACAATATACACCATTTTCATGATCGCAATTATATTCATTTTTAATCATGATTTAATCATCAATAATCATTCTAATCAGTAGGTTTATCATTCATAACTATCCATAATAATTATTCATCATAATGATCATTCAACATAACATTTAATAACAAACATCGGCCTAGTCTAGAGAGTTAACACCCGCACTTACCATCATGCATCATAATGTTTTATATGCCAAAAACATCATTTTTATTGTACCAAATTATATTTATATTGTTCATAATTAATTGGTATAAAAAATAGGATTCCTTAGTTCAAAAATCATCTTTTCTAAACAATAATTGATTAATATATGATAGGAAATTCAATTATTAACTACTAGCTTCATTTTCTTCAGCAGGTCAGGGAGATAGTCTATTATCACTTTTGATAATCTACTATCTGATGTTCAGAAGCTGATAGTCGATCATCACATTCTGATAGTCGATTATCAGCTTCCAATTCAATTTCAGAGAGGCCTGACAGTCGATTGTCACATTCTGACAATCGACTGTTGCTCTGTTGTGTTCCAAAAATCTGTAGAACGAAGAATAATCAATTTTTAAATTAATAATCGATTATCCATCATCTTCTACCTCTAGCCAACTTACGGAAATTTCATTTTTACTCACCAAACTTCAATTAAAGTATATAAAAGTATTCTCCAAGGTTCATAGATCATTTTGGCATCATTGATTCATAGTTTTAACATCAAAATCATTTTTTGTGATTCTTAGTTCTTCAAGCATGTCAAACACAAAACTCAACCAAATGACCATTTATGAACATTAAAACGACCTATATGAACATTCTAGTTATTAGATATATCTACGGGCTTACTTTGAAGTTAAACGATGATTCCAGCAATTTAACAATGAAACTTCCGACGAACACCACGGCTTGCTCCGACGACTTTTCACCAAATTGACAGCATCATTGAAATCTCCACACTCATAGGAACATATTAGAAGGAAGAATTTCATTAATTGGTGAAGAAATAAAGGAGAAGAGGGATGCTTTATATAGTGAATAAATTAGAGAAGATGACAATGTGGGTTGCTGTTTGTGATCCTTCGTTCGGCGTAGTGGAATTGGCTGCAATATGTTCTGATTTCGTATGCCATTCCCTGATTGGGACCAATTTTGGTTATAGTCAAGATACACTTTTTGGTCCTACTTTCTCCAAATTGAAATCCGTTTGCACCGTTGCGATCAGACAGTTAAACTCTATCCTTCGAAATAATTTTCATGATTATTTGTAATACTTTTTCCGAAATCATATTTTTGGGTGTTTGACTTTGACAGTCAAAATTGATTTAGTTGACCTTTATTCAAAAAGGTTCTCTCATTTCATTCATGTTATTTACTCTCATGATTAATTTCAATAATAATTTTAGAGTTCACATCACAAGTCAATTTCTTAATTTATTCTTGATTTGGATATGTACGCAAGTTCCCAATCAAAATCTCATAATAAGTCAACGTATGTGATTTATCTCTTTGACATTTATCCAAATTGTGATATTGGACTTTAGAACATATTTCATATCACGCCCAAAGCCCAATAATAATTAATCAAAACAAATTTTTTTAATTGAATATTTAATTCAATAAATTTTAGGGTATGTTTTGAGGCATTACAATCACATAATACGAGAAATCGTAGAACGTGGAGATGTAGAAATTTGCAAGATAGGAATAGATGACAATCCAGCAGATCCACTAACCAAAGCCCTGGGAAGGCTTAAGCACGAGGATCACACTTCGTCCATGGGCATTTTAGAAATGCATAATTGGACTTAGAGCTAGTGAGAGATTTTTGAATATATGTAAGCCCTAGAGACCAACTTATGATTTGTATCTGGATTATTTCAAGAATAAAGGCTGTCAAGAATGTTTAAACTGTCTCGTGTACTTTAGGCACAACTTAAGTTCATAGATTAGTTCTCTAATAACATAGATGAGAACTACGATTTTCTGATTGTGAGACTGTTACAAATATAGAGACTAGATCTAAAATATCTTTAGTCAAATATTATGATAATACGGGCGTCATAATATATTAAGACTAATACGTGTGAGATGAGATAGCTACATCTCATAGGCTATCGATAAGAGGTTATCTGAATCTATACGTAGACAAATATATTGGATATATTGTTGGATTGACCCGCCATGAAAATACTATATGGGTATACCTTGAAATGTGTTAATAATATTTTCATACGACCATTTATGTAACTATCCTTGGACTTGATGTCATTACGATTCTTGGTAAGTTTAGCTACATGCGTTGAGATATAATTAATGCCATTTGAAATATTAGTGGACGTATAATTATGTCTTGGGCATGTAGTAAAACTTAAGCAAGAATGTGAATGATGTACATAGAATTTATCCCTTCCTTTATAGAAGTATAATATGTAACACCCCGGCCCCCACTCTAGCCGTAAGTGTCCGCTCATAGGATTGTAGACTGGCCCCACAAACCAACACAAGTCTTTCCCGCCCACTTTGTCTTCACTCGTGCGCGCCCAAGGAATTTCCCAGGGGGTCACCTATCCTAAAATTGCTCCAGGTCAAGCACGCTTAACTTTAGAGTTTCTAAGTGATGAGCTCTCGAAAAGAAGATGCACCTTGTTGGTATGAGTAGTACTATCAACCCTTTTGAGCTCTTCCCATTTCCATCTTGATACGGGGTATTACATTCACCCCCACTTAGGAATGCAACGTTCTCGTCCGATACCATTTGTAACACCCCGGCCCCCATCCTAGCCGTAAGTGTTCGCTCATAGGATTGTAGACTGGCCCCACAAACCAACACAAGTCTTTCCCGCCCACTTTGTCTTCACTCGTGCGCGCCCAAGGAATTTCCCAGGGGGTCACCCATCCTAAAATTGCTCCAAGTCAAGCACGCTTAACTTTAGAGTTTCTAAGTGATGAGCTCTCGAAAAGAAGATGCACCTTGTTGGTATGAGTAGTACTATCAATCCTTTTGAGCTTCTCCCATTTCCATCTTGATACGGGGTATTACATAATATCTATGTGCCCACTAATTGATGTGACTTGGGAAATGTATGGCCATACCTAGATAAATTAGTATACATGATATTAATGTTATCTGAATCCCACAAGCCAATCAAGATAATCAATAAACCTTCGATTTAACTTTAACAAGGTGACATATCCCACGCCTTGTGTTAATTTAAATTTAGATATTAGTGATAAATGGATAAGAGTTATTAAATTAAATTTGTTGTTGAAGAAATTATTCTAAGAGCTTCATATCCATAACTTGGGGGTGATAATGTGTTGCTATATATCGCTTGTTACTTGTTGTATTTTAATACTATGGCCAGTGGTATGGGTAACCTAGAAGAAGGTCACACATATAGAACATTTGATGATGTAGAATATTGTTATGGAGTAAAGTAAAATACTTAGTAAAATATTTGTACATATTGCGTATGACACAATATTATAAAATATATACATTTGGACATTTTAATTATATGAAAATTAAGCTTTTCAAATTTTATTTGTTTATATATATATATATATATATATATATATATATATATATATAGTCCAAGAACTTTAGCCAAAAAAATATATGACTTCTAGTGCGTACACACGAACCTTATCTCAAGGTTTAACCTTATTAAGATTAATTAATTATCGCTATTATTCGTTCTTCGCCGCCACAGTTGTTCTGCTAATTCCAATCACACCCCATGGCTTAATGGGATTAAAACCTCACTCACACCATATCTCGAGAATTACTAAACAAAAGTCAAGGGTACCACACAATACACCCCCCCCCCCCACACACACACATAAAACTTACCATGCTAAGGTTTTATGGTGTGGTGTGATGGATCACACTCATCACACAATCCCCCTCACCTTGTAAGTTTTTCTATTTCTCATTATAGCTCATCACACCAGCATCACCCCGCAAGAGTGTTGATAACGTCCACCATGCCAATTTTTTTTTTTTAAAGCTCTCTTTAGGTTTTTTCAGGTTTGAAGAGATTGTTCCTAGCACTCTCCGTTTTGGGAATGAGAAGCATTTTGATTACCTACAAAGAGAATCGAATGAGAAGCGTGTTAGTGGCCCTTTTGAATCCCTTGTGCAAAATAGTTACTCCGTATTTTATTCTATCTACAAGTGGAAGCACCAACCAACACCCTCCTCGGCCTGGCGGGCTACTCTGTACATAAATTTGCATCCAAGAGACGAAGCACAAATTATATACATACACATAGAAGACCACATACATGACAGCTCAAAACTCCCACCATTTTGAAGGGCCACAGGAGTCGTCGTCAAAAGGGCTGTTCAAGCTGCCACTGCACCAGTGATCCGGCGAGGCGAAAGGGCTGCCACCTAACTCCACCAGGTTCAAAAACTCCACTTCTTCTTCTTCTTCTTTTTCTTCTTCTATGTCGCGCTCAACAAACCCATTGTTGCTTGCTCGTCTTCCACCATTTACGCATACTATTGGAGTTTCACACGCCCCCAACCCTGCATTTCTGTTTTCTGAATCGGTAGGCCTCTCCCGGCTTTGTGTGTCTTGATGATTCTTTCTCTGCCCTGCACTTCCACTCCTTTCTAGCTGGTTTCGTAGTTCCTCCAACTATTTCAGATAGAGAATAGTTTCTTTTTTTAAAACTATAAATTCAAACGACGGGCAGATTGGCAGATACATAAATGCACTCGTTTGGGGTTTCCTAATTTTGATCCCAACTCTCACACACAATTACAGAAACGGATTAATGACGTGAGTCTGTGTATATTTGTGATGAGAAATTGCTGTGAGAGTTGAATAAAAATTGGGGTATACCATTCTAAATATAATTAAAGAGTCATAAAAGCCATTCAATTCCAACTTTTTTTTTACATTTGTGTAGTTCTGAATTTTCATACCAAAACCAATTGGTTATTAGAGGGGTATTCCACATCCAAATTATATTGTGTTCACATTGGTGTCAAATTGCGAGTAAACCTCTCACTAATTTATTTTTAGGGAACTTTCAAAAGATCTCCGAATATTAATAGATTTGTGTAAGCACTTATATACTCAATATTAGTTAATTTATTTTTCTCCATGGGGTGTGGGAGTTAAGTTCACACCTAATAAACTTTTCTTCAATTTAAATTAAAGACCACACAATTAACCCGTGAATTCCCATTTAAGATAGGACTCAAGTTTTCTTCAACTTTTCTTCGGTGTAGGACTCAAGTTTGTTTCGAAGATAAATGGCCAAATAGCTCCGGTGCACCCTTGTGGTTTGAAAAATTAACACCAATGCCCCTTCTATTTTCAAAACTTATTTCTAAAATTCCTGTGGTTTCAAAATGCTGCACCCGTGCCCCCTCCGATCATTTTCCCGGCTATTTTCCCGCGAATTGGGGGCATTTGCGCATAATTTTTAAACCATATCGGGCATTCGTGCTCATTTTTTATTTTTCGTTTATAATTTGTGTTTTTCTTTTTTTTTTAAATATTTTCTATCTCTTTTTTCTTTTCCTGAATTTTTTTTATAATTTATTTTCAATTTTTTATAATGTTTTAAAATTTTAAAATTTTGTGTTTGAAAAAAAAATTAAAACAAAAAAATTAACATACATTGCATCTATTTGAAATTAAGCATTTTCACTTTTTGTTACGTACTTATTTAGAAAGTTCAAACAGAAAAACCTAGAATAAAAAAATAAAAAATATGGAAAAATAATATGAAAAATAAAAATACATAAAAAAAAGTTTGATACAAAAAAATGGCAAGCCTAAAAAAGTCCTTAGAATTGAGATGTTCGAAAAAGATATTCATTTTTATTTTTGTTTTATTTTGTTTCTTAGTTTATTCCTCATTTTTTTTGAAATTCTCAAAAAAAAAAGTTTACTTTTTTCAGAAAAAACAAAAAATATTGATTTGAGAAGTACATATACATTATATGTTAATTTTTTCAAACAAAAATAACTTTAAATTTTATGAACATTATAAAAATAATTTTTAAAAAACCTTTATTAATAAAAGAAACAAATAAAGGAAAAATGGAAAAAAACAAAAAAATAAGTGATACCCCCTGTGGTTTAGTAAATATGCAGCAATGCCCCCCTTTTTTGCCGGAAAAATGGCCGGAAAATGATCAAAGGGGGCACGGGTGCAGCATTTTGAAACCACAACGACTTTAAAAATAAGTTTTGAAAACAGGAGGGGGTTTTGGTGCCTATTTTGCAAACCACGAGGGGTACTGGCGCTATTTGGCCGAAGATAAATTGATATGAAAAAAGGAAGCCGATTTTTACCAAAACAAACTTGTTTTAGTACTAGTAGGGTAGCCTACTAACTAAATTTATACTGCAAAAAAAAAAAAAAAGAAATGTATCCTAAATCTTGTATCCCAACATGAACAGCAGTGTATCACAGATGTACTTAGTAACTTAGACAACCTTTGGAGTAACCATTGGGGTACAAAATTTGATGTACTTCTATCACACACAATTTAACTGTTCAAGGAACATCCTACCCTCACCCAATTTTGTACCAAATTTTGTACCTTAAATCTTTACACTGACATAAAATGTAAATGCAACACTGACATAATATCAGTTTTGCACTTACGTTTAGGGGCTGTTTAGCAACTTATGAATAAGTAAGTGTTGAACCAGTAAGAGGTCTGAACCATTAAGAGCTAGTAAATTGCTTAACTATTCAGAGGCAAATGTCTGATCAATTCGGATAAGAGGTCTTAACCATTCAGACTCTGTCTAATACTTAACCATTCAGAGGCAAATGTCTTAACCATTCAGGCATCTGAACCATTAAGAGGCTGAAACATACAGTCTGAACCATTAAGTGCTGAACCATTCAGACATCTGAACCATTAAGAGGCTGAAACAAACAAGCCCTTAGTGTCAGGTCAAAGCCTTGGAAAATGGGGTACAAGTAGAATTTTCCAAAGTTTCAACTATCAGCAGACAACCTCCGTCCTAGATTATATATTCGGTTTTGACTTTTTTTAATTAATGTTGATAAATTTTGAAAGCTTAAAAAATAACTTATACTCCCTCCGTCCCATAAAGTATTACCTATTTTGACTAAAGTTAAAATTAAGGGAGTGATAATTTTGTGTTGACTTTCCAAAGATACCCTTGATGTGATGGGTAAAAGTAGGATGTGATATGTAGATTATTAGAAAAAATGTATGATGTGATAGGTAGGGTTTGAAAATGAAAGGGTAAAAATGGTTTTTTAATAGAAATGGATAAGGGATTGTGAGACGCAATTTTTTTGAAACGTGTAAATCTTTTTGGGATGGAGGGAGTATTAGATATTGATCAAAAAATAATTTTATTAAATTTATCTTATAAAATAGTTTTAAAATATTTCTTTATGGGAGAAAGACCAAAGTAGGACCAAAACATTGAAAATATAGCAAAATAGGACTTCTATGTTTTTATTCCCGAAATAGGACTACATTACCAAACATGGTCATATACATTACCAAAAAAGTATAGTAATTTGCACATGTACACTGCCACATTACCACAATGCAAAGTCCTATATTAGTAGTTTTCTCTATGTTTTAGTCTTATTTAGGATGATTTCTATTTCTTTATCTAATTATTATAGGGTGTAATTTTTATTTAATTTTAGGTTAAACATTGATCTGAGTTACTGTAAAAAAGACAAACATAGACAAATAAGAAGGGAGTATTTGATGGTAAATGTTTTGGTTATTCTTAGTTCCATGCTAATTTTATAGATATTATTAATACATAAAATGATTATATGTATCATGCCTTGCAAAAGGAAAACATTTTATGAATGAAACTAATGAAAGGACAACTCAGCTCGTAATTGAGTGCCTTTTAGCATGTAATTAGATTGTTGAAAATAATGTAGTGTAAATGAAAGCGCACATGCCTGCAAAAGCAAATACTCTTTTTCTCTTTTGAGTTCATCAAACTGGGCATTAAGGCTGTCGAATTCGGATTTGAGGACTCTGAATTCGTGCTCCATCTGCTTGGATTTCCACCTTGCCCTTTTGTTCTGAAACCATATGGCGACCTGGCGAGGTTGGAGCCCCAAATCTGTGGCCACCTGCACTTTCTTCTTTGTTTCCAGCTTTGTTTCCAGCCTAAAGATGCTCTCCAGTGACCTCACTTGTTCATTGCTAAACCGCTTACCGCTCTTCTTGCTCTTCTTCTTCCTCCTCCTCTTACTCGATCTATTCTTCTCCCCACACCCACCAGATTCCTGGGTTTCCGATGATGCTTCACACTCTTCTATTTCTTCCTCCATCTCTCTCTTCCCTATTTCCTCTAAATTATTGCTTCTCTCTCTCTCTCTCTCTCTCTCTCTCTATATATATATATATATATATATATATATATATATATATATATATATAT